GGCAGCCACATACTGTTATATAGGCAATGTTATCATGAAAACGGCAATGTGGCTGCCACATACTGTTATATAGGCTATGTTATCATTAAAACGGCAATATGGCTGCCACATACAGTTATATAGGCTATGTTATCATTAAATGGCAATATGGCTGCCACATACTGTTATATAGGCTATGTTATCATGAAAACGGCAATATGGCTGCCACATACTGTTATACAGGCTATGCTATCATTAAAACGGCAATATGGCTGCCACATACTATATATGTTACCAGGAAAACGGCAATATGGCTGCCACATTCTGTTATATAGGCTATGTTATCATGAAAACGGCAATATGGCTGCCACATACTGTTATATTGGCTATGTTATCATGAAAACGGCAATATGGCTGCCACATACTGTTATATAGGCAATAAGTCATCAAATTGGCAACACGGCTGGCTCATGCGTCTATAGCTGGATATGCACACAGTTAAGTTCATACAAGTACGTACGTATAGATCGATTCGAACAATATTATGAGTCTCATCGAATTCACAGTCTATATTTCTGATCTTTCCTGATTTGGGGTTTGCAATTTTCTCTTGAACCATTCACACCGTGTAATTTTATTCTGAAAAAGCTTGTTAATTCTTACAAAGTATCCTATATCAAACGTGAATTTAATTAGTTGAATTTTCTTGGAACGAGGGGCTGATACGGCACTACTCGCATACAGAACAGTCATTGTTAATGACGTAAAACATATCAGCCAATCAGAAGACCGAAAATAACAGTAATAGCAAACCTGTTTGAAATAAATATCGCGGCCAGCTTCGCCCCCTCCCCCTCGATCACTTACATGTTCCTGCACCAGCTACCCACTTCTTGCAAAGCCTCACTTTCCAAAAATATCAATATTTGTTCACAGACCTGAGAAAGTTTGAAAGGATTGTAGGACACCACATTATGAATCACAAGCAGATGTGCGGAGATGAAACAAAAGAACTGGAATGAGGTTATCAAAACACGAAGGAGTTATTGATTCAAATCGGTGGCCCCCAGGATCCCCAGGAAAATTTCCCCAGGGAGTAGAATGCACTAGAGTAAAATATTAACATTTTGCCTTTCACAGCGAATGTGACAGGGGGACCCTTAAAACAAGAGAGGAAACTCTAGCCTATGGCTCCCCCACCCCTGCTCCTTCAAGGGCTGCCATAGGAACGTGTCCCTTGCATCTTCATATTGCCACTTCTTAGTCCTACTAATATTTTGGACATTCAGGGGACTGGTGTAGGAATCAAGGTTCGTTTATCCGAAGGTTTATTATTCTGAATTTGAAATAGATTACGTAAAACCCAATACTTTTTGCAGATCTTCAACATTCGTTGCTTACTACCTTGCATTTATGCTTTCTTAGAAGTCAGGTAAAATAACCACCACTACTAAATTACAATAGACTTTGAAAATCCACATGGTATTGTCTGTGGAGACTGGAATGTAGTACAAGATTCAACCCTTGACACATTTAACTATTTGCATGTTAATAACCCGCGAGCTAAACAACAAGTAAATAAAATGAAGACTGAATTAGATCTATGTGGTCCTTGGAGAATTAGATTTCCGGATAAATCATATTGTACGTGGCGGCAACCTAGCCTTTTAAACAGAGTAGATTAGACTTCTTTTTCATTTCTTTAGAATTTCTTTCATTAGTGCTCAATGTCGATATTCTTCCAGGTTACCGACAAGATCACTCGTCAATTTGTATAAGTCTCAGTTTGATTCAGATAAATTGAGGTCCTGATTTTTGGAAATGTAATTATTCCTTGCTAATAGACGAAGATTTTGTTTCGCAAATAAAAAAAAAGATGACAGACACTATTCTGTGTTATGCTAAAGACGAAGCAATGTTCGATCAAAATGGTTGCATATGGTGAGTGTGAATTTAGCTTAAATGATCAGTTATTTTTGGAAAATTTAATAATGATTTTACGGGGAGAAGCAATATCGTATGCCTCTTTTGCCACAAAACAATATGTAAACAGGGGAAAGGATCTAGAAAAAACAATTAAAGAGTTAGAAAGAAAATTGATAATATCTGATGATAAGACTTCTATATAAGGGTAAATTAATTAATTAGAATTAGAACTGGAAGCATCCCCGCCGTTTTAAAACTAATGAAGAAATTGCGATAAGATCTCAAATTAAGAGGATAAAGTTTGGAAAAAAACCCTTCTAAATTCTTTTTAGATTTTGGAAAAACAAAATAATACCAAAAGACATATGTCAGTTATTCAGTGAAAAAGGCGATATTTTAGACAGACAAAGTGACATACTCAAAGCAGTGTTTAATTTATACCCTATTCGGTTTGCACAAAAAGAAACTAATTGAACTAACCAGGAATCAATATTAAACTATTCTGATATTCCTAAATTGTCCACGCAACTGTCCTCATTATTGGAAGGCTGACCTTGTGTTGACGAAATCTATTTCACTTAAAAATTCATGAAAAATAATAAATCTCCCGGACAGGATGGTTTTACTGTATAATTCTATCGTCACTTCTGAGAAAAAATTAAATACTTTCTGGTAAGATCAATAAAGTATGCACATTTCACAGGGCATTTGTCCAACTCACAAAAATGGGAATAATAACTTTGATTCCGATAGGGAACGAACCAAGACATTTGTTAAAAAAAGTTGTATCGAGTTGTATCGCAAACAGACTCAAGGGCATTTTTGTGTGGTTTTTATTACATTAAAATCAAACAGGGATTTTTGAGTGGTCGCTTTATTGGCGATAATATACGTTTATTATATGATACGCTAATTTATACTGAAATACATGATATTGCTGGCATGCTTCTTGTTGATTTTGGAAAAGCTTTCGATTCCGTATCACATATTTATCGGTTCAATGTCCTGGATTTATTTAGCTTCTGTTCATCTGTAAAGAAATGAATCAAGTTGTTTTATGCAAAAATGCATCATCTTGTGTATTAGTTAACGGACACTGTACAGATAGATTTGAAACGGAATGAAGGGGTCGTCAGGGAAATCCTTTGTCTTCCTACCTCTTTTTGTTAGTCAGTGAGATACTTGGTAACCTAATAAGACACTCGCATTCTTTAGTTGGATTGCATATGAATGTAAAAATGCTTAAACTGTTGCAATATGCAGATGATACCCTTTTGACACTCGACGGTTCAATGCAGGATTTACAATGTGCCCTTTCCAAATATGCCCAATCTCAAAATCAACACAACTAAAACTTGTAAAAGAATTAGCCACTACAATGTGCAATGTGTGGCTTTTCTAATGCTTTTCGATTTGGTTTTATTAAAAATGTCATACCAAAGGTTATTGAACCTACGTGTATCATCCCGAAGGCATAGTTATTATTATATACCTCACTTAAGAAATCCAGCCATCTGATTGGTCGAATTGCATTCATAAACTTCAACTGTTCCTGTAAAATTCTCGGTAACCATGCATAAAACATTTCAATATTTTTAATAACCATGGTTATTAAAAAAAGTTGGTCAGCCTCCATGGTTACCCCATAGGTTTACATGTTAAAAAATGGTTTGAGCGATGGAGGATGCCGTATGTGTGCGAAGGATTGGTCGGTAATTTCAATACAATTGAATCTCGATCGATCTTACCGACAATTTTATCTTGCATTGTTGACATGAAGACGAAAATAAACTTCCAAAAACAAAAAACAACATCTGCCGATAGATCTTGATCTAAGTTCGTGCCGATATGCATTGCAAAAGTAAAAGAAGAGTCCGTATATGGAGCTTTTGCGAAGCATTCATCACACGCGAAGCCGGTTTCAATCCATTTTAATGTATATATTGTACAAAACTGCCATGCATGTTAATAACGCGCGATGGCCGAGAGGTCTGAGGCGCTGACTTTAGATACATCACCTTTTGTACGCAAGAGTTCGAATCTCATCTACGACCAAAAAAAAAAGTATTTTTTATTTTTATTTTTTTTCGGCATATAAAAGTATTAATGACTGCTTTAATATTCGAGAAATAGTTGTTTTTATACGCTCTCGGGAAGGTTACAATTGGGCTATTCCCCTCGGCACGCCTCGGGTAATAGCACAATTCTAACCTTCCCTTGAGCGTATAAAAACAACTATTTCTCTCAAAGCAGTCATTAATACTATAGTATTAAAGGGGAAAAAGGGTTGTGCACATATTTACCGTTCTTTATTAAAGCATAAGATATATAGGAATGTAAAAGTCTTACGAAAGAAAAGAACATTTTTAACCCTTCTCTTTATATTTTTCCTTCGTCTCTGTAGGCCGTACGTCTCTCATCTTTATACCCATATTTCTTTTTACATTCCCCCATCCTTACTCTTATTTCCCTTTTCTTCCCATTCCAATCATTTTCACTCTGTCTCATATTCTCTTCTACCTCGCACATCATCTCCATTTCTCTTCTACTAGATGGGATTTTAGTGGAAACGTATAGTGTGCAATGCCATGCGATTACAAACCTAATAGCCCGAATTCACAAAGCAAGGTTTGAGCTCAAACCTCCTTTTGTTTCGCCAAACCTCCTTTTATAACAAAAGGAGATTTGGCGAAACAAAAGGAGGTTTGAGCTCCTTTTGTATACAAAAGGAGATTTGGCGAAACAAAAGGAGGTTTGAGCTCAAACCTTGGTCTGAGCTCAAACCTTGCTTTGTGAATTCGGGCCATTGAGCGCAAAGGCGCATATATTTGTTGACAGACCTGAGAAAGTGTGAAAGGTTTGAAGGACACCACTTTTGAATCGTGAGCAGATGTGCGGAATATAGAGACAAAAGAAGGGAGGGGCAAAAACACTTTAAAAATCCAGGCACCGCCACTTTATCATAATCTACCATCATTATCCATCAGTTGTTTGTTTGCTGAGCTACAGAACGGACGTGATGATGTCGTACCTGTGCTTCCTTCTTTCGTGTTTCACCACAAGTGTAATCGCCATGTCTATTGAGGGCAAGTGTTTTTTCATTCATAAATGATTATTGAATAATGGGATTGTTATTAAAAGCGGTATACTGTAAGGCGCATCGCCCAATGACGCGTTTTTGTTTTGTTTCTAGCAGCATAATGCTTAAATAATTCTTAAAATGAAATAGAGTACATTAGTTCGAAAATGAAAAAGGGTTCGGTTTTCGAAAGGTTCGCAATTCCGAAAAACAATAGGCCTTCATCTAGGTTTCATGTTATTTTCGGAATTATGAACCTTCGGGATCATGAATCCTATCTCATTTTAAAGTTATGAACTGGTTGTTATCTTCAGAATTGCGAAGTGTATTTCATTTTTAACCTTAGGATAATACGACATGTTACCGGGTATTTGCGGGCTTTAACGGCTTAATCACTTTTCTGTGTGTGTGTGTGTGTGTGTGTGCACTTGTAATGACCGTCAATCGGGGAGGTTCATATGAATACACAACTTCCAACTGTGGAGACACAGCAAACCGTGGAGCTCCACAGTTGCAGAATCATTAAAACGAGATTTAAATCAGCTTTGGGACATCCCAGTAGTACCCCATCAACGTTCGGCTGCGATTTAACTCCATCCCCGGTTTCCCACTTTGGAGTCATAGCTTGCAGCCTGAATATGTGTATTATTTTCCGATCTCAAGAATAATATCAAGTGAAGAGCGCCAGCATGAGGATACACACTGCACAGTCTGTATCTTATTAGATGCAGCGCATGCGCAGTGCTGGTGCAGTGCACCTTGCGACGTGCCTGTTAACGTATATGGACATGTCATGGCGGGATTAGTACAGCCACAACTGGCAAAAGTAAGTAGAACTAGTCTAGATCTAGAAAGTTTACTTTCATTTTTAATCCAGTCTAGGCCCATTAATATTCTATCAACTTTTTAAAGAATTCCTTAGGCCTATAGATCTAGTTCTATTCATGATATTGGGTACAAAAAAACTCATAGTCCCATAGGCCTACATGTAGATCTAATCTAACTTAGATCTAAGTAAGATGTAGATCTAGGCCTAACGTTAGGCCTAGACCTAGACTAGTACTACTAGTCTAGGCTACTAGTAGTAGTAGATCTAGGTCTAGTATAAGTTCTTCTTAGGCCTAACTTTAGAGTTAAACTAAAGGAATATCTAGACTAGATCTAGTAACGTTAGATTCGAAGGTCTATTTCACATCAGCCAGATTTAGCCTAAATGTGTGCATGGGAAATGTGGAGCCATAGGTCTAGGCCTATCTGTATATAACTCACATGGGCCAGGTGTGTATAAATGTGTGCATGGGAAATGTGGAGCCATAATAATCTGGGTCAGATGTGTATAAATGTGTGCACGGGAAATGTGGAGCCATAACTAGATATAGATCTACATGGGCAATGTGTGTTTAAATGTGTGCATGGGAAATGTGGAGCCATATAGGATATATATTACACATGGGCCAGATGTGTATAAATGTGTGCATGGGAAATGTGGAGCCATATATATATATATATATATTACATATGACCCAGATATGTATAAATGTGTGCATGGAAAATGTGGAGCCATGTTGAACTGAACTATTTAAGGTGGATTGAAGACGTATAAATGTGTGCATGGGAACTGTGGAGCCATTATACATGGGCCAGATTTGTATAACTGTGTGCATGGGAAATGTGGAGCCATATATATATATATATATATAATGGGCCAGACGTGTATAAATGTGTGCATGGGAAATGTGGAGCCATATCTATATATATATTACACATGACCCAGATATGTATAAATGTGTGCATGGAAAATGTGGAACCATGTTTATCTGAACTATTTAAGGTGGATTGAAGATGTATAAATGTGTGCATGGGAAATGTGGAGCCATATATATATATATTACACATGGGCCAGATGTGTATAAATGTGTCCATGGGAAATGTGGAGCCATATATATATTACACATGGGCCAGATGTATAAATGTGTGCATGGGAAATGTGGAGCCACATATATATATTACACATGGGCCAGATGTGTATAAATGTGTGCATGGGAAATGTGGAGCCATATATATATTACACATGGGCCAGATGTGTATAAATGTGTGCATGGGAAATGTGGAGCCATATATATATATTACACATGGGCCAGATGTGTATAAATGTGTGCATGGGAAATGTGGAGCCATATATATATATATTATACATGGGCCAGATTTGTATAAATGTGTGCATGGGAAATGTGGAGCCATATCTATATATATTATACGTAGGCCAGATGTGTATAAATGTGTGCATGGAAAATGTGGAGCCATATATATATATTACAAATGGGCCAGATGTGTATAAATGTGTGCATGGGAAATGTGGAGCCATATATATATTACACATGGACCAGATGTATAAATGTGTGCATGGGAAATGTGGAGCCATATATATATTACACATGGGCCAGATGTGTATAAATGTGTGCATGGGAAATGTGGAGCCATATATATATTACACATGGGCCAGATGTGTATAAATGTGTGCATGGGAAATGTGGAGCCATATATATATATATTACACATAGGCCAGATGTGTATAAATGTGTGCATGGGAAATGTGGAGCCATATATATATATATATTATACATGGGCCAGATTTGTATAAATGTGTGCATGGGAAATGTGGAGCCATATCTATATATATTATACATGGGCCAGATGTGTATAAATGTGTGCATGGAAAATGTGGAGCCATATATATATATTACAAATGGGCCAGATGTGTATAAATGTGTGCATGGGAAATGTGGAGCCATATCTATATATATATTACACATGACCCAGATATGTATAAATTTATGCATGGGAAATGTGGAGCCATATATATATATATATTACACATGGGCCAGATGTCTATACATTTGTGCATGGGAAATGTGGAGCCATTTATATATTACATATAGGCCAGATGTGTATAAATGGGTGCATGGGAAATGTGGAGCCATGTTTATCTCAACTATTTAAGGTGGATTGAAGATGTATAAATGTGTGCATGGGAAATGTGGAGCCATATCTATATATATTACACATCAGCCAGATATGTATAAATGTGTGCATGGGAAATGTGGAGCCACATTTATTATTGCATATGGGCTAGATATGTAGAAATGTGTGCATAGGAAATGTGGAGCAATCTATATCTATTGCAAATGAGTCAAATATGATAAGATGTGTGCATGGGAAATGTGGAGCCATGTATTTACATGACCCCCTTGATGTACATCATAATGGACGTGTTTCATAATACCTCATGATTTTAACAAATAATATAATAAAATTGAGCATGGATATTAGTAGCAATATTTTGGCAAATTCCAGTATGATAAGGGGGAGGATGTGGGGGGTGGGGGTGTAATATTTAGATATTTTCTTCCAGCTTGCTCACAGCTGTGTTTCTGCATAATATTACTAATATTTACTTGACCTGTTTCAGAATCGGATTCTCAGAAGTCAAACCAGACAGACAGTTCCAGATATTTTTAGTGAAGTTGATCCTGAAGGATTTACAGTGAAACAGCTGCCTGACAAAGGTGAGTGAGGTTACATACATGTACATGTAGATTGTATTAATAGTGAAAATTCACTGTAGCATAGATATCTAACATTAATATGCTCAATAAAATATTGATTCAGAGCTAGACTATGCAAGGAACGCCTGGTATGGTTCTTTGATCACACCTCATCGCCTATTGTCTGAAAATCACCAGCTCTTTTCAGAGTAACTTTGATACCCTTCGCAGTTAAACAGGTCAACTTCTTTAGTAAAATCTATACCCTTTCTGTATATTTCATTAATTTCATGCAGTAGAATATTTGATATGCTTTCCCTCATATTTTTCTGTTTTTATAATCTTAATTCAACACTTAATTGCGTGAAGCAGTCTTCAATGGCAAAGTGTTGAAAATAGAATCAATTACCACTACTGCATTTTCGTCTACAAAATACTCAATAATCTAGCCCCTTATTTAGAATCTTTTGGTCATAATCGTCCAGTTTACTTTGTTACTTGTCATTCTACCTTAAATCCCTTATTTATCCTGAAACCAAAGACTGAATTTAAAAAACGTTCTTTTTCTTTCACTGCTCCAAGCATCTATAACAATCTACCGACTCATATTCGCACGGCAACTTCACTCCAAATGTTAAAAAACCAAATTAAGTCACTCCCTCTATCACTTTAATGCATGCACTGGTACCTAATGTTATATCATGACTTTTACCATAAGTTAGTTTTGTTTGTTTGTCTGTTTGCAGTTGTGTAGTCTATTTTTACGGCATGTGTATTTTTTAAAATATTTTTTTGGTCATTTTTCTTTGTATCAATAATATCTTAAATGTTTAATATTTAAGGCCTTCTGTTCATTTTGATCTAGTTTTTATTTTTTTAAAGCTTTTTAAAAAATGTTTTCTACAATGTATTCTATTTTTTTGTAAATATTTGTATGTACAGGGCTCTTTTGTAAAGCAGGAGGTATTAAACTTGATTTGGTTAAGTGTTTAAAGGTTAGACCTTGAAATGAATTTTAATGCCTCCTCATGGGGTTGAATGTCAAAATGTTTTTAGAAAATCTAGAGAAAACGTCATGTTCATCATGACATGCATGACATTGTAATTTAATATCTGCAGCATACTAATATTAAATACAATGTGTTGCTTACAAGTCTGCTTGATGGCAATGTGACCAAAAAGACACACAAATGTTATTTAAAACTCAACCAATTTTGAAAATAAGTGCCTTAATTCTTACAAGTACGAGTCCGAGTTACTTATCACACCTGCATGAGCATTATCTTAAATGACAGACAAATATACTTGTAACATCATATTCACAATGTTCAAACTCGCATGATTGATCTCATGAAGATTATGTATTTCTTCAATCACAGGTAGAGCAGTCTTTACCACCAAAACGTTTGAAGAGGGAGAATTCCTTTTGTGGTACAGAGGAGATCTGGTAACCAGAGATGTGGGGGAACAAAGAGATGCAGACTGTGAAACTTGCTTCAGATACTTTTTCACATGGAAAGGGACGAAATGGTGGTAAGTCTACATACTATGACGACTTGATTTATTGAAAAGTATATTTTGTAATGATAGGTGTTGAAAACAAACCTAAGGGTATATGCTTATGACGTAGTCGTAAACATGTGGGTTGACAGGGCAACATATTTTCTACCAGTGGTTTTTGTTTTTTCCCTAGAGAAAGATCGAAAGCTAGTCATATCTGTCAAATTCTATTCCGTGCTTTTGAATAAACCCGTGGACTGACCACATACAGTACACATACATTTTTCTGCAGAAAGTATCAATACGGCAAGGACAGCATAGAACAAATATGCAACTTATATTCTTCTCTATCTTTTCAAACCTGTTTTAGCTATCATACACAAAACACACAATCTTACCAATGACAATTATTCAACCTTGTCAGTCCAACAGATCATATTCCATTTTGGAGAGCATAAAACAATATTTGGTACAAATATTGGATATAAAAGAAAGGTGCATTACACTGAAAAGTCCATGTTTTTTTTTGTACACTCCACATTTCATCTTACAGATGAAACAGATTCGGAAATTTCTATGCAACTTGCACCACCTCCCTCTCCCTCCAGTGAAGTTTTAAATGATGAAACAGATTCGGAAATTTCTACGCAGCTTGCACCACCTCCCTCTCCCTCCAGTGAAGTTTTAAATGATGCTGGTTCATCAGTTCCCTGCAATATGTCATCGGAAGACTCTTTTTCTACTCCCCCTTTCTTCTACACCTCATCTTCACTTCAGTCTGATATTACTTCATCTGTTCATTCATTACTTCCCCTAACACCTCCCCGCACCCCCCAATCAACCCCTCACACAACCCCTCCCTCAACCCCTCTCCTAACCCCTCTCCCAACCCCTCTCCCAACCCCTCCCTCAACCCCTCTCCTAACCCCTCGCTCATCAACTCCTCATTCAACTTCTTCATCTGCTTTGTCTCCTCCTCTCCCTTCCCATCCTCCTAATTCATTTCTTTCAATGTCTGTTGTCCAGCGTCATCCTCGCATTGTAGCTGCATTTCTCATTTCGCTACTCCTGCTTGTTGTCTTTATACATCTTCTGCTTTTAATTTCTGTTATCCTTCTTTGTTAAATGTTCATCATTCATTTTGTAATTTCCCAAATTTCCTCTTCTTTATAATCTGGGAAGATGATCTGAGATGGGCCAACATATGTCAAATGGTAAGATTTATTGAAAAATCATTTGAAAACTTGAGAACAAAAATCATACAGTTGGTAAACATAATCTTCATTGAGGATGTAGTTTTCAATGCACAATTCAAACCCTGCATTGGATTTCCTGCTTTCTTTGCTCATTCTAGAATAATATAACACTGCATACATGTTTGGTCCGTTTGATATGAATTCAGGTTTGTGCTAGTAGCCACTTTTTATATTGTATTCTTTATTTGCTTTTTGGAGCTACGTTCCACTTTTAAAGATTAGATAGATTATTTTCTTCTTTCCCCCCTCATTCTACACGTCTGTTCTTGTTTATCATAATGCTTTTTTTCCTTTTTCCCATGCTATTTTTTAATCTTTCCTCATCTCTCCCTCCCTTCTTCTCCTTGGACTCATCTTTCTTCTCCGCATGTTCCTTCTCCCCTGCCGAAGCCTTCTTCCATCTCTCCCACCCGGTGTAAACATCTTGTGGATAGATATGTCCGAAATTGTAAATTTTCCCTTTAGTCTGTTGCCTCTCCTTGCCCTTTCCCCAATTTGGTCGCTTCTCTCTCTTTTTTGTTATTTTTGTTATACCATGTAATGTCTTTGGCTCTCGTATTTCAGAGGGTCTTGAGAGGATATATTTTGTTCGCAATGCTGTTGCCCGTGGCTTGTAGGGCGTGTCGTTATCCGACCTTTGTGTTTTTTTTTGTTTTTTTTTGTTATTTGTATTTATATTGAAAAAATCTTCCACGGTTAGTTCGTCGTCTTTTTTCGCCTCGGTACTCTTGTCTGATGCACGGTGACATTTTGTAGCATTACAATTTTAAGGCAAATCTTGTTTTATGAAAAGTAAACATATGCATGTTTAATGTTCATGATATTGGTTATGATTTCCAATGCCTACATGTAATGTTACCTATTTGTTTCCTATGTTACTTGTATTTCAAATTTCCTCCTAAAATTAACCATGCGTTAACAAAAATCATGACTGTAACGATTCTTCTTTGAGTGATACCCTACTTGAAAAGTAACAGTTAATCAAATAATATCTGACAACAGAGAAAACCTAAAGTGAAATCACAAATTGTAACCCACATATACTTGTATGTTTCAGTGATTCATTGTAATTTTAAACATTGATGAATCTAATGTTTTCATTTTTTTTCAATTTCATTTCCAGTAGGGATGCATCAGTCGAACCAACTAAACAACAACTGGGACGACTCGTCAACCATGGTTGGAGGGGTGAAGTCAACAGCAGAATGAAGATTAGAGAGAACCCTCACAATGAACCAGAACTGGTTCTCTTCTCATTGAAGAAAATCAAAGAAGGTGAAGAAGTGTTATATGATTATGGGGTGGGAGATAATTTTGTATTCCCAAGTCCTACTCAATTACACAGTGGAGTCCAAGATGAAAAACCTGAAATTCTGCAAAATTCTGCAAACCTCCCACCAGACCCAGAAAAAGTTTGTTCACCATTCTCCGAGCCTGCCACACAAGAACTAGTGGAACCAGATGGAAACTTTTCACAGTCCAATGTTCGAGCTGATGATGATGAAACATCTGAAGATCGATGCAGAAACCCCCCTAATAACGAAACAAATTGGGAACCATCCCCTAAGCCTGCCACACAAGCTTTAATGGAATCAGATGGTAAGATTTCACAGTTCAGTGTTTCAGCTAATAATGATGACACATGTGATGATCCATGCCGGAACCCCTCTAATAACCAAGAACATTGGGAACCATCCCCTGAGCCTGCCACACAAGCGTTAATGGAATCAGATGGAAAGCTCTCCCAGTTTGATGTTCCAGTTGATAATGATGACACATGTGATGATCCATGCATAAACCCCCCTAATAACCAAGTGCATTGGGAATCATTTACTGAGCTTGCCACACAACCTTTAATAGAACCAGATGGAAACCTTCCACTCTCCAATGTTCTAACTGATGATGCTGAAACATCTGATGATCTATGCGGAAACCCCCCTAATAACGAAACAAATTGGGAACCATCCCCTGAGCCTGCCACACAAGCTTTAATGGAATCAGATGGAAAGATTTCACAGTTTAATGTTTCAGCTGATAATGATGACACATGTGATGATCCATGCATAAACCCCCCTAATAACCAAGTGCATTGGGAACCATTTACTGAGCTTGCCACACAACCTTTAATGGAACCAGATAGAAACCTTTCACTGTCCAATTTTCTTGCTGATAATGATGACACATCTGATGATCTATGCAGAAACCCCCCTAATAACCGAGAGCACTGGGAACCATTCCCTGAGCCTGCCACACAAGCATTGATGGTACCAGATGGAACCCTTTCACAAAATATTTTTTCAAGTGATAATGAGGACACATTATCTGACCATAATGATGATAGTGATGATGATCCAGACTATGTCTGTGATTCTCAAGGAGATTCTGACTCTTCAGGGAAGACTTCATTAAATAATTCTCAAGCATCATTGCCTATGGCTAAATGTACATCAATAAATGGCATCACTCGATCACTGAAATCTCTGTCATCAGATCAGTCATTGGAGGCATCATCAAGATATGGAGGCATTGATGCTGACCATGAGGGGATAACTGTGATGAAGACCAACAATCAAGGAGGGCGAAAATATGACAAGGTAGCTTATTGCATGATGTGTGAGAAGCCCCACAAAAAACTTCCTGATCACCTGCGGTCACAACATTCCAATGAAATAAAGGTGGCTCAATACATGGCAGCAACGAATCGAAAAGAAAAGGATAAGCTATTGACATTGATAAGAAATAAAGGAAATCACATGCACAACTACAGGGTCTTCGAAAAGGGTCATGGAGAGCTTGTGGTCGTATATAGACCTTCTTGTGAAGCAAAGCCCCGTGATTATCAGCCTTGCAAAGATTGTTTGGGATGGTTTGCGAAAGCCGAATTGTGGAAACACCGCTGCATTTTGAAGCAAGAAGAGCCGGCTAAGGAGCAAAAGAAAAAACGAAGAAGACTATTAGCACAAGGTCGACTCTTGCTTCCACCAGTGCCCTGCACATCAAGAGATTCTATAACACACAAAGTACTGAGTGGTCTCAGCGATGATGAAATCAAGGCCTGCATTCTAAATGATCAGTTGATTCTAGAATTGGCCAAGGTGTACTCTAAGAAATTGGGCCATGACGAAGAACAGCACAACCACATCAGATGCAAGTTACGAGAACTAGGAAGACTTGTACTTCAGTTTAGACTTTGCAGCTGCAATGGCAAGGCAAGTCTGACTTCCCTGATATCACCAAATGGTTTTATGACTGTCTTGAGTGCTGTCAAGAAAGTGGCAGGCTTTGATGAGGAGAACCACTTGTTCAATACACCAAGTCTAGCACTTAAGCTGGGACATACCTTAAGAAAGGCTGCCTTTGTGCTCCTGAGTAAGGCTTTGATGGACAGAGATGGGGATGACATGCAGAAACTTGTAGAAAAGTTCATCAAGCTGCTGGACACTTGTTGGGGATCTGAAATCTCTACTCATGCTCTACGAACTTTGTACCAGAGGAAACGAAACCAGCCCAAACTCCTACCCCTAACGAGTGATGTTGTGGCTTTGTCAAGACACCTAGAGGTACAGGCTGAACTTTGTGTAGACAAACTGTCATCTGGGACCGCAATCGAAAACCATAGCACATGGAGAGAACTCAACAAGACCATGCTGGCTCATCTCATTGTGTTTAATAGGAGGAGACAAGGGGAAATCAGCAAGATGACTCTTGATGACTACAATAAAATCAAGAAAGGTGAATCTCATATGGTGGAAGGACAACTAGAGATGCTGAAAGACTGGGAAAAAAATCTTGTAAAGTTTCTCTGGAGAGTTGAGGTAGTAGGAAAACGTGGCAGGACAGTGCCGATCCTTGTGACAGACTCCATGAAATCATGTGTAGACACCATTGTATCCCACAGGGAGGAAGCAGGTGTAAACCCAAGCAACAAATACCTGTTCGCTGTAGCCAATAGTGACACTACATCTCATGTTCGAGGGTCAGATGCTCTCCGTGAGCTGTCAGAAGCATGTGGAGCACAAAATCCTTCAACACTTCGATCCACAAAATTACGGAAGCATGTAGCTACCATGTCACAACTAATGAGCTTGAGGGACCATGAGATGGACGCCTTAGCAAACTTCATGGGCCACGATATTAGGATACATAGGGAGTATTATAGACTGCCAGATGCTGCTATGCAGGTGGCCAAAATATCAAAGATCCTGTTCGCCATGGAGGGAAAAGCTGGGAACCCGGTCCAGCTGATTGGCACTGCAAAAAGTCTGGATGAGCTTCAAATCAAGTTAGATGAAGGTAAATTTGTGATGAGGGTAGAATTATACAGTGGGGATCTCAATCCAAACCCTAATGAGATGAGAAACATCATGGCGAGGGATAAGTGGGATGAATAACAAACCATGTAGCATGTACTAATTTTAAGAATCAAGTATTTCTGATTTCCACTCAACTTGACAATTATCAAATACAAAATATGTAAATTGATAAACATGCTGCAACATTATTGAATTAATGAAAAGTGTTGTTTTCAAATGAACCATGCAGTTAAATATTCCTCACTATATTGTTCACTTGTTTGTTTCAATTTATTTAGATTAGGGGTAATTAAGGCATTTGTTTGACTCGATCCA